GCCAGCCATGCCATGGCTCATGAGCGACGGACCGCTTTGGAGGCTCGCGACCGACTGGTTCGTCGACGCGTTCGAGTTGGACCCAGCGCTGGAGGCGCCATTGCCGTCGTTGCGCGGAATCGAGATCGCAGTGCCATTGTTGGTTGCGCTCGCAGGCGCAGCGCCCGCGCTGGTGGTGTTGGGGTTCATCGGGTTGGTCATGTTCGTGGTTCCTCGAGGAAACGAAGGAGGGTATCCTTCCATGCTCGAAGAAGTGCTGTGGCTGGAGGAAGAGGTCCGCGGAAGAGGGGCGGCGATCGACTCGTGGGCGTCAGGCGTCGGGGATGCTACGGACCTGCCGCTGGGGTTCACACGTCGCAAACTCTTTTGGGGACTGTTTTCTGTGGGAAGTTTAAAACCTCAGGTTATCCGGATTCGATTCGGTATTTCGACCCCCTCCCGGACCCATTACAAATCATTGTGGGGGGGTAGATCACAAATATAATATACACATCTCTATTCTATATATGAACAGAAAGAGAAATAAATTATATACTGAAAAAGTACCACCTACCATTAAAAAGTACAGCACCCCGGGGAGGAAATCTTGTCGCTACGGAGTGCTTTGGTCCCATAGCGCTCGGCATGCGGGCAGCTCTTAACGTGCCTGCCCAGAGAGCGCTCACTGTGGTCGACAGAAGTACTGTACAAGACGTGACATGGGGATCCCTAGCGGCGGCGCTTGCATCACGATGGAAGGACGCGAGCGATTCGAACGTCGACGATGCCGACAGTTGAATCCGGATAATTCTCAGGAAAAGGGGGTCCTCCATCCATTTTGCATAGGGCCCCTCTCATTTTTTCTCGTTTTGCTTGCAAATGCAAGTAAAGAATAGCATCTGGAATAAAAGCGAGGGGTCCACTCGAAAGACAGGCGCAAGGGAGGCCCAAAACCTTGCTGGCACGCTCCCCGGCTTTCTCGTTTACCGAAAGTTGATGAATGGAAGGGAGGGTCCATGCGCCAAGCCTCCCCGCTAAAAACTAACGCGCAAATTCTACAAGCCAATTGAGTGGTCTTTCCGATGAAATATACCTCGCCTACTGCAGTGCCCAGTAATCACCATCCCTGCATGTGCATGTGGTCTGCCCTACTATCCAAAGTGCGCCGGCAGAGAGACTCCGCTTGTAACACTCGCGTGGCTCGAGGTTCCGAGCACGTGGCCTCACCTAACTTGATTATGTCCTTCAACAGAGTCGTCCATGGTCTTATCCCTCTGCTTGGCGCCAGCCAGCGAGCGCTTTGGTGCACGTGGCAGCGTGTCGTACATGCGCAACTTAGCAAAGCACGGAACTTTGCTTTCGAACTTAGCGCGGACGGGTGGTAACGCGCGGCTTCGAACTTCGAAGGCGAGCAGTGTGCTACGAACGGAAATAGTGTGAGAGTATCCAACTGAACCAGCCTTCGTGTTGAGAGCTTTGCTCTTCCGCAGCCTTGCTCCCCACCCACGCCACGACGACGCGAAGGAGCCTCATTGCATGCTCTTGTATGAGCCTTGTAAATATCGGTTATTTCTTGTTCGGTCCTAACTCCAGGTCTTCCTCACCGGGTATTCCCGACGAACGCTGTTGCGACACCAACGGTGGGAAAGACGCCGCATCAACCAGCAGTGACGGATCCAATACAACTAGATCCATGCACCGTGCTAGGCAGAGCATACAAGCATGATACGGCCAGCCATGAAGCAAAAGTGCTCATGCTAAATACCAGCACTCATGGTTCTTTGATTTTACCAACCAGCACTCGCTGCAGCAGCACGTCATTGCCCATCGCTTTGTTCGCACCTGCTTTGAAACACTTGCAGTGGTCATGCGTCGGCTCTGCAGGGACAAAGGGAACACATATCAAGAGAGAAGATCACCAACGCAGACAGTATAATATTACATCCGAGCTCAAGCCATGGACATCATTGATCGTCTGGCGGCTTCACGATGGCCATGTCGTGTGTTGGTCGTTGCTGAAGCGCTGGAAGTGTGGTATTCTGTCATACTCGAATCACAGTAATTCGAGGACGGACCATATGTCGGTAGCGGCAAGGCTCCGTCGATCGCCTCAGTGCCGGCCGCGTCTGGGTCGCCCATTACCACCTTGTGCCTCCTTGCGCTTCACGAGCTCCTACGACCTCGCTTCCTCGTGCTTTCGACTCTACGTGTAGCGTCATCACTGCGATTACCACCGACGTTCGCCAGTGTCCATTTGCAACATGGACGCGTTCCAGCCGCCGAGCCTCGCGCATGTCAAGTCCAAGAAGGTCAAGGAGCTCGCGAGCCTCCGCTGGCAGCAGTACGCTCTCCAGAATCAGCTCCAGCACCTCCAAAAGACACGCCTTGCTGCGTCGCCACCGACGCTCTTGGCGTGGCGCGAGATCGCCAACGCTCTCAAGGATGACACGACCGAGCAGCTGGCGACCAACAAGGCGCTCCAGCGGCAACGGCGGCGCTACCAGCGCCTCTGCGATTACCTTCAGCGCTGGGTCGCCAGCACGACGCCCCGCCTGGTATGATCCACTGGATCGTCGTTCGACCTCACAGACGAAAACGATGCATCGTAGCGGGCGCCCAGCCCGTTCCTCGAAGGCTGGCGGCACTCGCACCTCTTTGCAGGCGACGAAGGTGCCCGCGCTCTGAGCTACAACTGGCTCCTGCAGCAAGTCTACCGCACAACCGACCGCGTCTTTGCCTCGCTGGTCTTTCCCAACCGTTGGCACAACGCAATCGACGTGTCCGTGACGATCCACGACGAGATGCGACTCGTGATCCACGTGCAGACACAACAGGTCGTCCCGTTCGCCCTCGAAGACGTCTCGCGCGGGCTCTGGATCGCGCAGGACACGCTGTGCCAGGAGCTGTTTGCTGCGCCCGACGACCCGAGCACGCTGCTCTCGGTGCCAAGTGACGACGTGCAGTACACGCGCGAGAACGTCGGGCGCGCGATGGCCCACAACGTGCTCACTGGTCGCTTCCACGAGCCGCATCGGACAGTGATCTGCCTCCGCAGCATTCTGCACGATGACGCGCACCCGGCCTCGCCGCATACGTGGCGCTTTGACAACAAAGAATGGTACACCGATTTGAACATCGGCGACTTTTCGATGGTACGACGTGGCGTAGGAATGTGGCCGAGATGCTCGAGCCGCGGCTCACACGCGTCCGCACGTACTACACGATCGACCACCCGTGCATGGCCGATGGCTTTGTCTCGCTCCGAGACCTCGCCGCGCTGCGCTGCCTCGATAGCAACGATTTTGAAGACGACGCCCACCTCCTCGCTCGGCTCGAGCGCATCTCCATCGACAAGCACATTGAGCAGCGCCAGTTCTTCATGCAGCATCTCGAGCGCACGCTGCGTGCGCTCACACGCCACGAGTCCCAGATTCCGCGCCGTGGTGTCCTCGCTACCAGCCCCGCCGTTAGCTGAAAACGGCAAGAAAACATGAAGAAGATCCAGAGTGAATCCTGCAACTGTTGCACTGGTCGTCCCATCATCTGAGTTGCCGCATCTTGGCCGCGAGGGCGACGGAGCAACATGACACTCGTCGCGGAAGCAGCTTCAGAATGCATGATGGAAGCGGGCAATTGCTTCAAGTATCGTCCGTCGCCCTGCCGCGAGAGCCGCTAGATTGGCATGCATGACGTGGCGCTCGGATCATGCGAGAAAGGAATCGAATATTCTGCCAGCTGCTTGCCCCGTCGTTATCAGGCGGTGCGGCCTATACGAGCGCGCTTGAACAAAATATTGAATATTCGGCCGCTGACGTCCAGCGCATGCCTATATAAATATATATTGCCCGTCCTCTGGCAACAACGACGGTTGCTGCCTCACTTCGCCACACTCCGCGGTCATGGTCGAGGCCCTCGATGTGCTCGAGCATGTCAACGTCGTCTTGGCCGTGATCCTCTGCATGAGCGTCGTCGTCTACAACCGCTGCATGCAGCAGACGCTTGCGTCGGCCCGGCACCAAGCCTCGACGATCGACAAGCCATGCCAACACCGCCGCCGGACGCCATCGATCGAGGACTGGGACGTCTTGAACCACGTCATTGACGACCTTCTCCTCGGGTGCGATGTGCCGTCGCACGCCGAGCCGCTCCCGCTTGTCGGCGAAGGGCTCGCGCTCGCCATGTACGCCGCGTACCACATCTCGTCCGTCGGCGTCTTGCGCCCGCCCACCGCCACTTACTAGCTAGCCCTCCTCACTTCACCACGTCTTCCATGTGCTGCCTCGTAGCGTAACTCATGTAAATGTCAAGGTCGTTGCTTTGGCGCTCTTCTCTCGCATCGAACTTAGAATCCATACGGCTGCTGGCCCTGGTATGGCGACTGGCCCTGGTACGGGCCACCCGTGTGGCCGAGCGGTGTGTGCACCATTGCATTGTGGCCGCGAATGTCGACCTGCTCGCTGATGGGCGATCCGCGAAAGTACACGAGCGGGATGTTCGAGTCGGCGTAGTGCGCCTTCCACACGTGGTTGGCATACGTGTCCTGCACGTACGACTGGCGCGGGTGGACCTGGGCGTACTCGATCTCTTGGCCCGCTTCGTCGACCCAGGCAATACCAATGATGCGGGGCGTGTTGTTGACAAAGACGAGCTTGATCGGCGCGCCGGCGCTGCCCGACGTGATCGCGGTGCACTGCGGCCCCGACGCCGAGCGCGTTGGGCCCAAGAATGTCGACAAAGGTTGCGTCCGGCGCCGCCGTGTAGTAGGCCAGCGGGCCATGCGTCGGCGTCGCGAGCAGCCACACGTGCTGCGCGTACGTGTCCTGCGTGTACTTTTGGCCGGGCTCAATGCGGTTGTAAATGGTCTCGTTCCCGTCGTAGTCGACCCACGCAATGTCCACCGGCGCCACAAAGCTGTTGATGAATGTCACTTGCGTCGGTGTCTCGCTATCTTGGGTCACCTCTTTTGCATCCAGTCGACTACATAGCCGCATGAGCATTCGATTGGCAGAAGACGATATGGCCATGTCTACCTGGCGTCGCGACGAGCGAGGCCTCGGGGTACTGGCCACCCGGCGCGGCTACCGGGTACGCGGTCGCCGTGGGCACCACGTCGGGCTGCAGCTTCATGGCGCTCATTTCGGCGATCGGTGGCGCCGCTGACGCCGGGGCACCGTACGCAGCGTAGCTGCTCTGCTGGTCGAGAGGCTTGCCCGCGGTGCGCAGCCCTTGCAGGTGCGTAATCTCGCACGGGCCTTGGGCTACGAAGTCGCATGCATATGGAGATCTGGAAAAGAGAAGGCCGGGTACCGTAGCCCACATAGTCGGGTTCGTTGGCGACTTGAAGGAACGCGACGTTGAGCGAGCCCGCAAAGCGCTCGCCGTTGCGGAGCGGAAGCGACCGAACGCTTCCGTTGAGGAGGTCGTAGAGGGTCGCGGTCACCTGTCCGATGAGCTTCTGCGTCGACTTTTCGTGGTGCACGACTTGGAAGAGGAGTGGGCGCTTGTAGTCACCGTTGCAGAGACGCTGGACCGGCACGTTGCGCTTCTCCCACAGCGGGTTGCTCGTCTGCTTGTGGACCTCGGAGCGGAAGACGGCCACATACGACCCGTCACTCACGATGCGCTTGATCACAAGAAGCCTATATATCCATGGCATACTGAGAATGCATCGTGTGGGAGCACGCACGGGTTGGGCAAGCCCGAGTTGTCGGGCGCCGGGAGCTCGGCGCCGGCGAATTGGACCATCGCGACGTCCGCGTTCAAGCCAATGTACTCGGTGCGCAGCTGCAGCACCGCGCCGTTGCCATGGTCATGGTGGCTCGTCAGCGGCAGTGTGATCGGGTTGTTGATCTGCGCCACCATGTCCGGCAGCGGCAAGACAATGTGGCCGAGCAGCTTTTGGCGCTGCAGCTCCGGGTGGTCTTCGTCGCTCTCGTGGTACAGCTCGATCTTGACTACGTAGCCCTCGTTGCCGTGCTGGGCAACGTCGAGCTTGAAGCTCTTGACAAAGCCGGGTGCAGGCGTGTTCTTGCGTACTTCTGTGCGCCCGACGATCGTGTCTACATGCCTCGATGAGCCCATGCCGCTTGCTGCAGGCTCGTACCATTGAAGTAGACGACAGCGAACGCGTCGCAGCCGCGGGCCAAGCCCGTCGCGCTAATGGTCAGCTCCACCGGGGCAGTCGCCATCGCTCGTTGTCTTGCGGATACCAAAAACGATTTGTGGCAAGATTTCACTTCGTGCGGACCGACCCACAGGCTATTTGCACGCCACCTTGGGCCCCACAGACCAATCAGAGCGCAGAGCGAAGCGCGTCGCATGTGGAATTCAGCTGCCGAGGTGCACCGAGTAGCCATTGTGAGTGGTTCCACCTGCCGATTGCGAGCGGTCGTCAGTCTAACGTGCTCTATGGTAGTGATCGTGTCGATGCTATTCATGGGGCAAAGGATGACACCATGGCGTGTGCCATGGTACTTGACCTCTCAGTGCATTTGCGTGCATCCAGTCCTCAAGCTCGTCTCATTTTCTTTAAACTCTACCTATAATGTCTCAATATTAGTCCTTGACGAATGGGGTAGAGACGATTTTGAGATATACCGGTAGATCCATACACGTGGCATCGTCGGCGTGGAGATGCGCGAACGGCGGACAATGTGAACGCGAACTGCAAGCAGCATGCGTTCACATGTCAACGCAGTTGAGGATCAGACACAACGGGCAAAACGCCCTTCTTGTTTCCCGCCATTACTCATTCGAACGAGGCGAGGACGCGGCTGGACGCTTTCAAAGACGATAGCAGCATTTGAGCCTGAAGGGATCACACGTGCGTCCGATTCAACAGGGGGTGGCCTCGCAGGCGCGGCGTTGCGAGAGCAATCACAGGGGTGTAGGCGGCAATGACCACAAACTTGGCGTCGGTCGGGGCTGGCGTTGGCGCAGGTGTCGGCACGTATCCTGGTGGGTGTGTCGCGTCCTTGCACGCCTCAAACTCACAATGCAACGCTTCGCGCCGGTACGCGAGGAAGTCGCCGGGACAGTGTTTGGGCGCACCGTCGCACTGCATGCGGGAGCCAATGCGCACGTTGGAGACCCAGAAGAAGTAGATGCCCATGGCGTGCACGGACGGCAGTGCCAGAAGGAAACTCCACCGCATCGTTAAGTGAGGCGACTCAATTCGCTTTTGCCGCAGCCCACTGACTCGAAGCTACAATCGCCTTTACGCCATCATGGCGTTGAGCGTGCCACGTAAAATGCATCGAGACGTCTCTATCTACACAGTTGCTTGAAACGCTATCGTGCGTGAATTCCGTGCTCCATAACAAGGGAATTCGTTAGAGCAATGACTAGCGGCAAATGCTCCGTTCTTTCATACGGACGCTCTTGCATCTCCTTCCCTTCGCGGTTCGTATTGCCAGTGAACTATTCGCTTTCGCCTTGGCTTTGGCGTCGGACTTGTTTGTAATGAAATTATGTTTCCACGCTGAGGTTGGAAAGGCCCATGACGGCAGGCTGTACGCTGAGAGGTCTGCCCAGCGATTCGAGACGGCCGCTACCTCATTGCGGCACCTTGATGTCGTGTGTGTGATGTGCATGTCCGGCACTCAGTACGTAGCCGAGATCTTTGCGCTATTACCAACGGGCAAGTCTGGAGTGCACGGCGCGGGAAAGCCGGTTGCGATATCGTTCGTTTGCGTGTCTCTCTTGGGCGACGTGAGCACCGATGCATTTTCGCTCTTCCAACGAATATGTGTGACGAGATCATCATGGGCTGCTGCGCGGCCATCTTTTGCTCGTCCGGGTCGTCCAACCAAGCGTCCAAGACGACGCGCCCGGTCGACGACGCGCCCGTGGTGCCTATCGTCGTGAGCCCCGTGCCTGTCGTCGCAACAGCAGTGAGCACCACGAGCCCGTCGAGCGCGGCTACCAAGGACGAAGGCGCGAGCTCTTCGACCATACCTTGTGCAAAAGACGTCTTGCCTGCGACGACTGTGACGAGTGAGCTTACTACGTCGTAACACCAATGGACTCATGTGTGTATGTACGACTGATGTGGTGGCAGGAACCCAACTCGAAGTAAGAGCCCAGCGAGCGACATAACTCAAAAAGGCTTTGTCGATGGGCTCGTGCTGTCGCTTTGAAGACGAGAGCAGTACCGTCTCGCTTTGCTTGGTGCAATCTCAGCGCCCAGATTGCACCAAACGCGATGATTGCTACGGAGGTGCCCATGGACAATGCCCTGGGCGATGACGAACCGCGATATGACTATGTGGTGCTCTACGATGCAAACTCAACTGAAGCAGTTGAGGCCTTTTTTGCGTCGACCTGTCTTGTCGGTGGTTCTCGGTTGTGCGGCCACAAAGATTTGTTCGACGATGGACAAGGGCGTTGAGTCCACCATAGCGAGCAGTAGTGCGGACGCCGCACCAACTATCCCGATAGCCATAGTAAAAGTGGTCGGCTGCCAGCGCGGAGAGCAGAGGCCGATGAATGCGCGTCGCTTGATGTTGCCAAAAACACCCAACTTGCAAAATGTGAAACCGAGGCGAAACCAATCAATGCGACTTTTGCATAACGGATGCAGCTCGGCGTAGATTCAAGCTGCAGTGTAGTTCGCCCCTTTATCCCGTGGTATGTAACTCCGCCGACAGTTACCACCGCGTCGATGCATGGAGATACGTGTACTCCAGACCGCTCCACGCACCACAATCAACGACACCGAGTCCGCATGCGAGCACATATCCACCAAGTCGTACGAGCTACAATATCTTTACACTAACATCTATTAGAACTAGTAGAAGAAGGTTTTGTTCTTGTTGAAATGGGTCCTCGATTTGTGGGATTCTGCGTTGATCGCTCGTCAGATTCGTCAAGCGAGCCATTGCCCAATCGCGCAACCTAGCGTAAACGAGTCACGTGATCGCGCGGACCGATGCACAACGATGGACAATATTAAAAAGACTATGGTCTCTTGCGCATTCCATCATCTAACGTAATCGTGTTGCATGCTTGAGCTGTCGTCGCTGGCGCCGCGACATGTCCATTATGGTTGACGGCGACGACTAATCGCACGCAATTGCGTCGGTATCCGGACATGTTTCGAATTTTTCCGGAAGATCGCGCGCCATCGGCCACACTCTGCGATTTGCTGCCACGACCTCAGAGCTTATGGGATATTGGGGCGACGTGACGTCGACGATCGACTGGTGCGAGCCCAACTACGTCTTCTCGCACTACGTGGCCGAATTCTGGAATACGATCTCGAACCTCTCGTTCATCGTGCTCGGCTATTACGGTCTCCAACGAACCGTCGCGATGGACTTCGAGTGGCGCTTCGTGCTCATGTATCTCAACGTGATGGTCGTCGGCTGTGGCTCGGCGCTCTTCCATGGCACGCTCACGCACGTGTACGTCCTTACGTGTTCCCTTTTTTTCAAGACTTATTCCATCACCTAGGTCCCAGCAGCTCGATGAGACGCCCATGATCTGGTCGATGCTCATCTGGTACAGCCTCGTTTTGCACTTGGATTTTCCCAATTATATTGTTTTCTAGGATTTATATTTTGTATGCCCCCGACTGGCAAAACCAGAAACAATTGGATCTGGGCATGCGCGCGCTCCTCATCAGTCTTGGCGTCGGATTCACGATTGCCCACGCGTGCTACTCGTTCGTGCTCGCCTTCCAAGTGCTCTTCTCGGGCCTCACGCTCTCGTGTCTCTGGCGCGTGCGCAGCTACTACGGTCAAATCGAGTGCGCCGAAGGCAAAGGCCTCGCCAAGTCGTACATCCGGACCGGGTTTCTCGGTGCGCTGTGCTGGCTCGTCGACTACCACCACTGCGACAGCTCGTTCAACTTGTACGGCCACGCGTGGTGGCACTTTTTCATGAGCCTCAACGCGTACTACGGCCCGCTTTTCATGCAGTACGTTCGCGCGTCGCAGCTAAAGTGGGAGCCCGCCGTCGCACCGGCGATAGCAGGACTTTCGACCATCGTCATCGACAAGCCATTCTGCCACGCCAAGATGCAATGACGTTTACACCAGTTAAAACAATGACTCTGTACTATACGGTTTTTGGGTGTAATTTCAGACAAGGGAAAGACACAACATTGTGTTGCAGTCAAGTAGTCGTACGAATAAGAGGTCATTCATATTTACGCCTAGGTAGTCGAGATGGATCCATCCTGGGCGCATGGTTCGACTTTTTGGAAATCAGAGGTCATTTCATTTCTCCATAGCATTCGAAAGGCACATCTGTGGTCGATCGCGTGGACGTCGCCACCACCACCGTGGTGGTGTGTTTCGGAAGCTAGTTTCTTGCAAGACAGGGCAACACTTGAAGTCATGGTTGCAAAGGTGGGTTAGGTGTGTCCTTCCAGCCGGGTCGTGGTTGCGCAGACGAGGAAATATTTTTCCCAGAGTCTCGTCGGGTTGTGTAGATAATAAAAGGTTAGCTCCTAGTGTCGATGATTGGGCCTCACGGCGTGACGAGGTTGTCTTGAAACAAGCACGCCAGAATCGATGCATCGAGGTCGTTGCCTCGGCAGATGTCGCCGCGCGTCGACGCGCTCTCGTTTGATATTGGTGGAAGCATGCCGCCATAGTCCGCGTAGAGCAGCTTGTCCATCGACTCGGTGTCGTCGAGCGACCACCGGTCATCGGCGCGCCGCTCTGTCTCGTCCCTGTCGATAGCTTTTGCGTGCCGGCTGCAGTAGCCACCGCTGCGGGCGTGCGTCACGCAGTCCGACACCTTGCACTGGCGGCGACCGCCGTGACGGACGCAGCGGCCGTTGCGGTTGACCTTGCTGCCACAGCCTTCGACGGTGCACAGTTTCTTGATTTTGACGCTACCGTGGCGCGAGCAGTAGCCGCCGACGCGCGCCGAGGTGGTGCAACCCGGGTAGAGGCAGCGGTGACGGCCACCATGGCGAACGCAGAGCCTGCGGGCGTACACTTGGTTGGCACAGGCTTTGATACTGCACATGCCCCGGCTTTTGTGGACCGAGCACTTGGCTTGGCCAGGCAGTGGCGAAATCGCACACCCGTTGAAGCAGCACACAAAGGTATCCATCACAGGGTAAATTGAAAAATGAGTGCATCTAGGATCACGAGCCAAGCAGACTAAGGATGCTCTAAATGTGCCACTGTTCTCGTAACCGTGGGACGCAGCAGACTGTTCCCCAAAAGCAGTGCGCCACACCACGGAACACGCAAATCTTGAACGCATCAACTAAAGCTCCCTAGACTCGGAAAGCGATCAAGCTGCAGCGGTGATGATCTCTTCCGAGCCGAGCTCGTGAGGCCGTCGACAGAGTGTTTGGACGTTCGGAGGCATACGAAGGGACCATGTAAAGTTGATGGGCATACATTCGACCAATCGAATTGCTTAACGCTCAGTCCTTTTTGGTTGCAGAGCAGGTGCATTCGTCCAAGCGACGCCGCCTGTCGTTGCAGGAGTTGTTTAAAGTTATTGGATGGTGCACGAGTAATACGATGCTGTCGACTTGTGTGTGTGCTGTGTGAAAGCTACGATCATTCGCAAGAAATGTTGTTTGATATGACGTCCAGCAGTACCCTTCCGGTTCGATGCCCGTGGAAGAGCGTACAGCGTTAGGATAAGCGATTGATATTACCCTCGGTATTGGAGTGGTGTCACAACAGACTGCGTCATATGCAGTATGCGAATATTAGAATGCGAACAACATGACGCTTCAACCTGCGAGAACTGGGCGGCTCAGGAGTCGACAAACTGAAATTTTCATTAGGACTCGGCAGAGTAAGCCAGACCTTGACGCCTTTCTTATCGTTTTTGGGTACCGTCATACTGGAACAATGGGAGTGCATAGCATACCGGTACCACGACGTGGCGAGGGGACGCGCTTGTCATCGGTAGCAAAAAATGTGTCACGATCGGATGCGGTCGCATATTCAACGCGAGATTAAACCAGCACTCGGAGGTATCGGTTGATGCCTGAATCTACGTTGACAACCTTATCTGGATCCGTGCAAAACTGCAGAGTAACGTTGGCGGTGGGCTTACGAGGCCCACCACAGATCACTTGTCCATGCGACGTGGTCTCCATCTCACGGGATACCAACCCGCAGCACGGTACGCGACGCGGTAGAGCAAACGCGGCTGCCTTGACCGAGACATGGGAGGCGGGTTTCAATGGAACTACGTGGCACATTGTTGAGCGTCCTTGCGTTCGGCGCAAAGGGCTGTCCGCTCTCGCACTTGCACAGTCGAGACCAGTCTGACAACGACGGCTGCTGTCGCGCGTTGGGAAGTGGACCTAGATCAATTTCAGTACGACGCTCGCCATTCCTTTGTTTCTTGAGCGTGACGCCATTGTGGCGGAAGCAGAACACTTTGAACTGCACTCCTGTCACTTAAGCTGGTCAACCACCTGGTCATTTCGACTGTGGGCACGACATGCTTGCCTTGGCTACACGAAACGCTTGATAGCAATGGTATGCATATATTTTGACGGATTACTTGTCGTAAAAGCCGTGGTCCACATCCACCTGCACGGCGCGCCCCGTGTGCGTCGCCAGCGCGTGCCGAAGCGCCTGCGTCTTCAGCAGCATCTCGTCGTACTCGTCGTCGGCGTCCGACATGGCGACGATCGCGCCGCCCGCCCCAATGCTCACGCGGTCTTTCGTCACAACGGCCGTTCGAATGATAATATTGAGGTCGGCCGCACCGTCGAGCGAGAGGTAGCCCAGCGCGCCTACCATCGACGCCATCAGAATTACCCTACCCCGCCCTAGCCCTACCCGAGTAGACGCCTCGCGGGTACACTTCAAGGTCCCGGATGAGCTCCATCGTGCGCTGCTTGGGCGCGCCCGTCATGGAGCCGCCAGGGAACGTGGCGTGCACGGCATCGAGCGCACTCTTGCCGTCTGCAAGTGCCCCGCGCACCTAATAAATTGGAGTTTCCATTTGTGATCATTTTGAAATTTTAAGAAATATTGTACCGTTGTCACAAGCTGGTGCACGGTCGCATACGACTCGACGTGCATGAGCGTTGGCACGTGCACGCTGCCGATGGCCGCGACGACGCCAAAGTCGTTGCGTACGAGGTCCGTGATCATCATGTTTTCGGCGCGGTCCTTGACGCAGCTGCCAAGCTCGGACGCGATCGCGGCATCAACAGCAGCGTCGATATGGTCGCGCTTGCGCGTGCCCTTGATGGGCTTGGATTCCATCCGGCCGTCACAACTCACATGCAAGAAGCGCTCGGGCGACGACGAGCAAATCGCAAAATCCGGGTGCTTAAGGTACGCAGCGAACGGCGCAGGGTTGAGCGTCCGCAGTGTTTTGTAAAATGCGAGCGTATCCGGCACCTCGAGCTCGGCAATCAGTTGGTTGGTCAAGCACACTTCGTACGTCTCGCCGTCGTGGATCGCGTCGAGAACATCGGCAATGTCTTGTTCGTACTGGCGCCGGCACCGGCTCGGGCGCATCGTGATCGGATCCGACACGAGCGGCGGGGACGGCGGTGACAGAGTCGGCGTCGACGCCATGTCGCGCACACGGTCTGCGATCGATTGGACCCACGCCGTGGTCGCTGGCGTCGACGACACGTCGTCATCGAGGGCGGCCACGTACACGTGGCCCGTCACATGATCCAGCACGAGAAAGCGATCGGCAAAGAGAAAGGCGGCGTCCGGCACCGTCGAGCCCTCGGCGTCGCGATGGGCGAGCACATGCGCGCTCTTCTTTTCATGACGGCAGTGCAGCACTTCATAGCCAAAAAAACCCACAAAGCCACCGCGGAAGTCGAACGGTGACGACACCGACGTCACGCGATAGCGGTCGAGTTGCGACTGCAGATACGGAAACAGTGGCGTCTCAATCGCCGCGCCATTGACGTGCGTGGCATCGGTCACGACATTGTACGTGATGAGCTGGCTGAGCGGCCCCGCCGCGTCGCCCATATACGAGTAGCGCGCTCCGTTGCTGCTGTCAAGCCAGAAGGCGTGGGTTGCCGAGGCGTAAATCGCATCAAAGATCGCGTCACCGTCGAGATGCAGTTGGCCGAGACCCGTAGTATGCAGGTGGTAGGCGGCAGCAGGCTTGGCAACTGGCGTCGCAGCGAGCATCGCCGGCGCGGTCGCTGCGTGCGCAAGCGTACACATGCTCAGCGGCGTCTGACTGGAGAGGTCGGCAAAGTTTTGGAGCAGCTGGTAGCCAAACTCGCTGCAGACAGACTCGGGATGGAACTGGACACCGTACTGCGGCCGCTCCTTGTGCTGCAGCGCCATGATGAGCCCGTCCTCGGCCGTCGACGCAGTGACCACGAGGCAGTCGGGCAGCGACGCCACGAGCAGCGAGTGGTATCGGACAACGTCGAAGGTCGGCGCCGTGCCAAAGAAAAGCCCGTCTCGCCCGAGCGGCGTCACATTGATGGAGCTCGTGATGCCGTGCATGACCTTGGGCGCGTGGCGCACGTCGCCGCCATACGCATGCGCGAGGCCTTGGTGCCCGAGGCACACGCCCAGCAGCGGCACGTCGGCAGGAGCCTCGACAATCGCAGCGTGGCAGAGCCCAAAGTCGCCAACCTTGGCCGGATGGCCGGGACCCGGCGAGAGCACAATGTTGATGGCGGCGTGGGGTGGGACCTGCGTGAGGAAGAACGCCCACGCGTCGGACCAGACGCCGTTGAAGGCGTCGTTGCGCAGGACGACGGGCGCGAGGCCGTTGACCTGCGCGAGCATCTGGTACAGGTTGTACGTGTACGAGTCGTAGTTGTCAAGAAGGAGCGTGAGCACGGGCGGCCGGCGGCGGGGAGCAACCATCGTGTCGCTTGTCACTGGCAAAATGACGCAGCGCTCCATTGTCGGCCCGTCTCGGGTAGCCAATGGCATCGACCGCAGGCAAACGTCACGCGCTGTGATTGGCTACCGCTGACACTTCAACTCGGTGGGAACTCGACTGCGTTCGGCGCGGCCAAGGAGCACGGGTGCGACGGCTCTCGTTGGCTGCTGAAGTGGGTCTTCTATTCGACGGCTCTCGTTGGTGATGTGCCATGTCCGACACTTATTGTCATTGCATGTGTTGACGAGTGGAGCGGGTTCAAGGATTGAACTGGCACCGATCACGCGGCCTTTGCGACGATGAGTCATCATCGCAAGAACCAAGGGATGCGCTCCCCGCCTTGGCTCACGACGCTCGAAGGGTTCGAGAGCATGCACATATTCGATGCGGTCGACCGGCGCAGCGCACGCCCAACGAGCACTTGCTGGTACGTACGCCTTCCGGCATAGCGCGAGCATGCGTGATTGCTCCTTTGGTACTCCATGTTGGTTCGACGTCGTTGCAGTTACCCTTGGACCGCTCGCGACATCGACTTTTCCAGCCCCATAGACGGCTAATACTAGGACACGCAAGTACAGGCTTGTCGGCGAGGTATAATGGATGATGCTATTACAATGGTCTACTAATACTTGATGCGCTTGGGCTTCTTCTTCTTGTTGGCGTCGGTCGGCGCCGGCGTCTTCTCCGCTTCGTCCTTGGCCTTCTTCTCAACGCGCTTGCGCACAAAGGACTTGGGGAGCGGCACGTCCGTCTCGGTGATTGCATCGCGCTGGCGCAGGCCGATGCGGACGAGCTCGACGTCGAAGAAGAGCGTCGAGTTGGGCGGGATCTTGTCGCCCTTGCCGGCCGCGCCGTACGCGAGCTCGGGCGGGATCGTCAAGAGGCGCTTGCCGCTCGCACGCATCGTGGCCATGCCTTCTTCCCAGCCAGCAATGACCGCGCCTTCGCCAAACTTCATGGTGAGCATGCCTTTGCCGAAGATCGCGCCGCCCTTGCTGCCAATGCAGCCGCGGTACCGCACCGTGAGCATCTGCCCCGGCATCGGGAGCTTCCCACGGCCAATCGACAGGTCGCGGAGCGTGATGCCACTCGGCGTTGCAATCTCTGCACCGATCTTAGCTTCGTACTCGGCCGCGAGAGCCTCCCGCACATCAAGCGGCTCGACAAACGACTTGGGCGCCTCCGTGACGAGCATCTTGAGGTCTTCCCGAGCAGCCTGCTTCTCGAGCTCCGCCTTCTTCTTCTCACGCTTGTTGAGGTTGTCGTCCTTCTTGACCGCCTTCTTCTTCAGTTCCGGCTTCTTGGGCTCGATCTTGGTCTTCTTCGCAACTGGCTTGGGCGCTTCGTCCTCGTCGTCGCTGTCGTCAAAGAGCGACTTCTTCTTCGTGGGCGCCGCCTTCTCTTCCTGGTCATCGACCTCGATATGCGTCGTCGTCGGCGGCGGCGGCGGTGGCCTCTGGGATCGGCGCGCCGCCCTGCTTGCGCTGCTTCTTCTTGCGCTTGAGCGACGCGCGGCTGAGGCCCTTCGCTTCGGGCTTGGGCTGCTCCTTGAGAAGAACGCCATCTTCCATCTTATCTTTGGCGCTAATCATCTGGAAGAGATCGGCTTCGCCCGTCTTGTGCCAAGGATGGTCGACGCCCCAGGTCTGGTCCGGGCGCCCGTAGCCGCCGACGCGGACGCGCATGTCGGCGGCGAACCGCCCAGTCATGTTGTTGTTCATGGAGCGCACGCCCTTGTTGGACGAGATGACGTCGAGGTTGTCCGTCTCATTGCCCTTCCGGTTGTCCTTGCGGCGCACGAGCACCATCGTCGGCAGCGAGCTGATGCAAATGTGCTGCCGGTCACGTTGAATTTGATTGGAGACCACTCCAGTTCGCGAATTGGCCAATGATATCGCAGGATTAGATGCAAGGGCCTTGTGATTGGTGAATATCTTTAGATGGATTTTGGCCAATTGCGAGCCATTCAGCGGCGTATCAAGTTGAAAGACTGCTGAGGTAGATCGCAATGGGCAACAGGATGCAGGATGCTAATTGGAGACATCGGTCGACGTGGTTGCCAAGTGCATTGGACAAGACTGAAGGGAACGCAACACCCTCGCATCCTGCGTTGGATCAGCATGCACGCGGTTGAGCTGCTCGTCCAGCGGCGGCGCTCAAGCCTCGGGACGACCGTCGCGTTAACGCGCTGCATGACACTGTTGAAAGCGATGGGTGGCACGTGAGGTGACTTTAGCATTGCGATGCAGGGATGTTCTGCGTTGAAGGAATCACTTCAAGTATGGAAGATGCGCCGCTATGGACTACCGCTATCGTTCGCAAGAATCACATGCGATAGTACTTGGCTGCAGCTGCCGGGCTCGATGCCGGCAACCGACCACCGACTCCGGAACAGAGGGCTTGGATACCAGGACATTGGCTTGGCGCCAACAAGAAAACCTCCAACAATATATAGGTGCCTGCCGATATCAGATACGAAGGGTGGTATCTGCAATATCCGGATACGAGGAGATTGCCGTTTCGATGACGACGCCGAGCGCGCTGTCCGTCCCGGTCCGCGCCGCTTCGCCGCTGGTCCGCACTGATAGCCCACATGTAGCGATGGATGTACCTTGCGGGCTGCCCGCTCCTGAAGCTGCTGCTATTCGTTCTCTTGATGGAGATCCCGCACTCGACACTGCGCGTGGACGAAGCCGGCGGCTCGTTCCACTGGAACTGGGACGAGATTTTCTGGCTGCTTGGTATCGCTGCGTTGGCGACGGTCGCCTTCTACTGCGTTCAAGGCAGCGATCCAGGCTACATCAGTGAAGGTGCAGTGACCGCTATCCACTGCATTCCATTTGCTCATGGTCTGAATCTAGACACTGTCCTCCGAGAACTGGAGCTCGCCGGCGGAGGACTTTTGGACGACTGCGACGGCGACGATGCAGGTATGCTGCTAGCACCTAGCTGCTTGTTGGGATGCAAGGTGTCATGTAGACGAGGCCAAGCAGCGCCGTGAGATCGAGTACCGCAAGCGCAAGATCGAGCTCATGGAAAAGGCGCTCGCCGGCGCCGATGTTGCAGAAGCCCCACAGACACAGGCGATCGAAGCAGCGACCAAGATGGACTTTTGTGCGACGTGCAGCCTGGAGCCGGTACGTCGCCGTCGCCACGGAGCTTGCCGCAGCGACGTATGTAGCCGCTGCGGTCCTATCACTGCCCCTTCTGCAACCGATGCGTTGCGACCTTCGACCACCACTGCTTCTTCATTGGCACATGCATTGGCGAGCGCAACCACTGCCGTTTCTATTGGTTCATCCTTCTGTCGTGCATGGAAGTCTCGACCTGCCTCGGCATCGTACGCTAGCTGATGCAATTGATGCCAGCGTCTCCTACCATGCTCGTAGATTCACTCGAGCTTTCACACGGAGGCCACGCTGCAGCTCTGGCTGCGCACCAACGGCATGGCCCTCACCGCAGCCATGTTCTTTTGGGTACTCGTTCTCTTCTTTTGAGTCGACTGTCGTTTGATTCCAATCTAGTTTTCGCGCTCTTGACCTTCAGTTTGCTTGGCTTCCACAGTACGCGACGCGTGATTATTGCCTGGGTTGCTCATACAAAGGCGCAGCGTTCCTCATGTTGACCAACTCGACGACGCGCGAGCTCGGAAAAGGGCCCGAGAAGCTCAAGTACTTGACCGGCACGCGCGAATGCGACCTTCCGTTCAGTCATGTGCGCGACGACGATGCTTCTTCATCACAGTGTCCTACCTGGTGGCATCTAGGGACTGTGCGGCAACTTACGAGCGTTCTGCTGCCTTCGACCGGGCTGCTTGTCGCCAAAGAGTGCTTGGATGCCGTTTGCGTGGAAGCCCGTCGGGTACGTGTGGCCTCGTCTAGTCTAAAGTGCGACGCAGATTTGCATAGCAAAATCGAGCGCGACTCGGACCAGATCTGGAACCATTTGTGGGAAAACAAGTACTATAGTTGCTGCTAATAAGCCAAGATGGTACTGACCAAGTTGTGCACTCGACCAATGCAGTCCTATATGCGCGCTGCGTCCGCTGTGAGTGAACGAGAAGCGTACTACATGTCCAACCTAGGTCCACATGACTAAACCACTAAACGACTAAATGACGTAATGACTAAACGACTAAGGGATCGACTGAGCGAAAACGACTAGTCGACTAAACAGCTGAAGGCCGAAACGACTACATGGTAGTGGGCTAGTCGAAACCTACTAAGATCTGGGTTCCATTTTGCAACGATCGCGACGATGGAGAATGCGCTCGCCGACGAGAACGATACGTGGCGGAAGAACTACCTCAAGGAAATCCAGACCAACCGCGAGCTTACAAAGCAGCTCAAGGTACGGAGTGGCTCCAGCACCAGTGGCACGTCACCACATCACTGCAGGAGCTCACGCGACGCCTCGAGCTCGAGAAAGAGAAGACCGATGCGCCAGAGCCCCAGGTGTGCACTGCTATCGGTGTGTCATGTTAGAACCGTTACTAGGTCAATGACGAGCCATGCGCAATGAGCTGTGCGTCGTGCGTAGTCTTGCAACGCGAGTTGGACGTCCTGCGTGCACGGCATGCCGCCCTCGCAGAGCGCTACCGGCTCCTCGAGCTCGAGCTCGAGAGGCCGCGCTCTAGCGACATCAAGCAGCCACCTGCGGCGCCATTGCAGCTGCCCCGACCGGCGGAGCCAGCGCGGACAAAGCGCCTTTCGGATCCGGCCGAGATGGACTCTGCCTGTCAGAGGTACGCCCGTCGCCTCGAAAACTCGTTAGCACTGCGATAGCATCTTCAACGTCAACAACAACACGCCGCATGTCGTGTGCGCGGCAGCAAACGAGCAGCCATCGTCCAAGCACTTGGTCGAGTATGGTCTCCTCTTTGGGTATGCGGCCGTCGACGACCCCCACGACACGGCCGCGTTCAAGCGGTGCCGGAGCGTGCCCGAAGGTCGCGGCAAGACACTGCAGCACCAAGCGTCGCTATCTGCGATCAAGCCGCCGCCATCGTCGTCGCTCTGGCCTTTTGGGAAGCTCAAGCCCGCGGCCCCGCCGCACGTGGCCGCCGTGCCCAAGGTGCATGGATGCATATGCCTTCTCAAGTCACACAACACGTGTGTGGTTAGGTCATGGCCGCGTACCCGTCCCCGCTGCCCGCATCGTCCGGTGATGTGGCGTGCCTCATGGAGCTCTGCTTCCCGACAGGCGAAGCGAGTTATGCTCACTTGCGCCCGACGGCCGTCGCCGTCTTGCACCGTACAGAGGCTTCGTTTGTCTTGCGCTTGTCGGGCCAGGACGAGGTAGACAGAAGGATTCAACGATTGCTTAGTTGGAGTAGGTACACTATGCCATGTGCGTGGTGACGGCAAGCGAGACGAACGTACTTCGGTGCTTCTGCCTCGTGAGCGTCCACCCTTTCTTCAGCCTCTTCTTCAAGGTCCTGCACGGCATCGTCGCGCTCTGCAATGTCCAGCGCGGCGCGGCAGGTATGTCGTTAGAAGATTGGACAGGTTGTCTCATGGGTTTGCAGATGTCTTCGAAGATGTCTTGGCTCGGTTGTACGCGACACCCGTGCCTTCCATGGGCGGCTGGTCCTGCTTCCGCCTCGAAGCATCGTACCCACTTCTGACCTTTCACCGCCCGCACACCAAGGACGTGGCGAGCCAACACCGCCAGTTTGTGCTCGAGTGGACGTCTCCGTGGCTCTTCTCCAAGGTCTCGCTCGACCACTTGCTCGTCGTCCTCGGCCTCTTGAGCTGCGAGAGCAAGGTGCTCGTGCTCGGCGCCGACCCGACGGTCGTCACGTCGTGTGTGCTGGCGCTCGCCGCACTCCTCTCGCCCCTGCAATGGGTACCTCGATCCATATATCGTTTTTGCGGGTTATAACAAGGTGGTTCTCTTCATTAGGCCGGCGCGCTACTGACGCTGATTCCCGCGCGCCTCGACGAGCTCCTCGAAGCGCCGGTGCCCGTCCTCGCCGGTCAAATGGTCCCGAGCGACTCGGCCGTGGCGCCCATCCGCAACGTGGCCTTGCTGGACGTGGATATGAACCAGATTATCTTGCACCCAGACGACATGGCGCAGCTGCACCACGCCAAGTGGCCCGAGAGCGACCAGCTCCGCTTTGAGCTCCGGCCCGCGGCCGACAAGCTCTTCGGCAAGCACGTGACGCCGCACCGCATCGAGCGCGACGAGGTCGAGGCATGCGAGACCCTCTCGTCGTCGATTCACGCCCACCTCGAGCACCTCGTGTCCGCCGAGCACAGTTCGCCGTCGATCTTTCTCGATACGTTTCGCAGTACGCAAATGTACAGCGACTTGATCGGTGCTAGTACGATCGCCAAGGACGAGGACGACCTTGGTGGCGATAGCGACCGCGCGTCCGACTGCGACGGCGAGTCCATCTTGTACGACGCCTAGTCATACGTTGCACTAAGCTATTAGTATAAGAAGCGATTGATGCAAGCGCTGGTGGCGATGCGACCACAACGCCGAGACGAGCTTGACGATGTCGCGACACGCCGTCTGGTTCTACCGTGTACCAGAATCGGATCTGATTTCGCATTGATAGCACCTGCACCTTGACGTCGCTTCGCGTCGCCCAGAGCTTGTACTTGAGGAGGAGGTAGAGACGCTCATCATGGCGCTGGCCTCGCTGCATCGCGCGTTCTTCGAGGAATTGGTTCCTCGCGCGCTGCGGGTGCCACGTATGGGGCGCCTTTTTAATGCGTCACGCCCGCCTTTCTCTTGTCTTTTAATTCGTCCTTACTGTATGTTTGTATGCGGATCCAAAATACTGTATTTTAGTATCACAATCATAATAAAAGAACGCTAAAAATACCGACCGGGCGCGTATTTTAATGCGTTTTGTTCATTGACACACGCCTTTTGAAACAGGCGCATGTATCGGAAAGGGCCTGGCGCGTGGCATTAAAATACGAATAAAAATGCGCACAGAAAGTTCCGTCATTTGGCCATGGTCGGGCTCACGCTCATGCGCAACCCGTTCCGGGCGCGGTCGCACTCGGACGGCCTGCCCGAGGACAACAACCAGCTGCTCAAGCCGAGCGAGCTCCCGCCCAAGCGACTCTCGAGCCTCAACGCCGAGCAGCCGCCGGGCCGGGCGAAGCAGGCGCCGCCACGCCACGGGACGCCCGAGGAAGACGACGACGACGGCGTTGCCCATCCCGCTCCATCCAAGAAGACACCCATGACGCTCAAGGCCGCGCTGGCATCGACATCAGGCTTCATGTACAAGAAGCTCGCCTTTCGACAGAGCCCCGAGAAGAGCGAAGGCGATGGGCACGACCACATGCCCTGGTACGCCACCAATTCCATCCCTTCCTTAGTGACGATATCACTAATATGCTGCGCAGGAACGACTCGGACTCGGACGACGCCGATGGCATCTTCCCGAATGGCACGGTCGTCGCCACCAAGTATGGCACGGCGCTCATCCTCGAATACCGTCCGGACGACCGCATGTACGTGGTCAAGACGTTTTGGCACGCGACAGCCTACTTTAACGCCGAGACGGTCGTACGCGAGGTCAAGTGCATGATTGGCGACCGCGTCAAGACGCGCTGGGGCCTCGCGACGGTCGAGAGCTACTACTTGGACGATGACATGTATGGCATCGCGCTCGATTGGCGCTGGGACGACGACCACGTGTGGCGCATGAAGGCGACCACCAAGATGTTCACGCCGATCGGCAAAACCAAGTCGCGCGCGCAGCTGACCAAAGAGCTCATGCAAAAGACGGCCGCCGTCGGGTACTCGTCGCTGCGGACCTCGACGTCGACGCTGCGGTCGTCGACCTCGAGCAGCTACAACTCGCTCGTGACACGCATGTCATATTCCATGAGGTACCCATCGCATTGCTTTGTTCATCGCATGGACGATACGATGGCATGGTAGCGCCACCACGAGCAGTCCGAAGCCCCAGGACGACGGTCCCAAACACGCCGTCTGGACGCCCTTTGGCGAAGGCCGCGTGCTCGGTATCCGCGCCAGCGACGGCATGGCCAAGGTCCAGCTCCGGTCCGGTCCGACGGCGTTTCTGCTCGCGACGTCGCTGGAGCCCCTCGGTTTTGGCACGACGGACCACGTCGCCACGATCTTTGGCGACGGGTACATTAGCGACTACCGCCACACGGACACCACGTACACGGTCGTCTTGGCGACGTCGGGCGCGACGCTGTACACGCAGTCGCTCGAGTCGCTTCTCAAGCCGTCACCGTCGTCGACGACTGCCCACGCGACGACCAACGTGACGGCCACGTCGCTCTTCAAATCGCTCCCCAAGGTCCCGTTCGCCGCGCCCAAGCTCTTCACATCGGTGAGCCGCAAGGAAAAGTACGCGGTTGGCGACCGGCTCAAGAGCCAATTTGGCACCGTGGTCGTCACCGAGTACCGCGCCGAGGACGACGTGTTCGTGTGCCTCATGGACGCGACCGCCGCCGGCGTCCTCTACGTCTCGGGCTCCAACATGGAGAGCATGTTTCCGGACGCGCTCAACCCGACCAAGATGACGGCGCTCCTGCAGATGACAGTCCAAGCGACCAAGAGTCTCCAGACGACGACCGTCCAGTCGGCATCCGTCCTGCAAAAGACCGTCATGGACAAGTGGGAAGCGTCCCAGAAGAAAAAGTAGAGCGAACCACTCGATGCCACAGACAACACCACCATCATCATCATATTTGTGTAGGCCCAAGTTTGCCGTCGACGACCGCGTGCTCTGCGGTGTCTTTGGGTCGGGCTTCGTTCTGGACGTCCACGCCGAGACAAGTGTCTACCATGTGAAGCTCCGGAAGCTCGGGATCGAGGGCCACTTCCACGAGGCGGCGCTCCGACCCTTTCCGTACGACCGTGCGACGCACGTCATTGTGGGCGAGAAGCACACATCGGTGCCAATGGAAGCGTACCAGGCGCAGCACAAGAAGTCTCGCAGCGAAATCATCAAGAGCTCGATGGCGGCCAACCGCCAGAACAAACAACACCTACCCTCTCTCTTCTAATCCCTCCAACTACACTATTTGCTTAAGAACACACATGTGGCCACTCGCACTGGCGCCCCATGACTTGAGGACATGGGTGGGCACGCGATCGACAAAATGCATGCAACACAGATTTTTGACATGACGCTAGCGTCGTCTTGGGTCGACCAGCTCTTCGGCACTCGGAGCCAATACTAACGTTAGATTGTGTCAATTTGCAACCTCATTCAAGACACGACATAGGGTGCAAGAGCTTCGATTCGGCTGATTTCAACTACAGACAACTCACATGGAAACTTATTACATTGTTTTGATTAATTAACTTACCCTATCCTATCCTACCGATGTATGTCAACTACAAGACTGCATAGTCGTCTCGAATCCAAGGGTCGTCCGTGTCGATGTACGCTGGAGGCTGCGCTTCGTAGTTCGGATCCAAGTACGCGCAGGGCGCTACCTCCTCATGGACCATATCTTCGTCGTCTTCATCACCATATGCCATGCGGTCTTGCTCCAGGCTGATC